CAAAAAGAAAAACAAGACATCAGAAAAACATTGCTTTATAAACCTTAAGACTTATTAAAAAACTTTTATATTTTACATATGAAAGCATTGTAATGTTTACTGATAAGCTACCAAATTTTGTTAACATTCACTTACTAATTTAAAAGTTATAGCATGAAAACTACAACAAGCACAAAATGGTTGCGAGGTTGGTCGCAGGGACCAAGCCCGTACTGAAATAGTTACTCTTTTCTGCACAAGTCACTGTGTTATATTCAAAATTTAATTAAACACCTTCACTATCAATGTACATGAATGAAATTAACATTATAATGTATGTTATGACTCCAAAAGAAACATTTAAAAAACTACTTAAACTTCAGATATATTGAGCAATGAAACTTCTCTACATTGGCTCTCTGTACTTTCAATACAATGGTAGTTAAGTAGAGTCTGGACAATAAGATGCTTACATAACCTTTTGACTCATTCATTTCAAAATTCTCTGAATGAACATATATGAAACAAGTTATAATTTTTTTTCAACTCTTGACAGTTGCCAAGCCCACCTTCAACAGATTTGTTTGAGCTTTACAGCCTACAAGTAGATACTACATACACACATATACTAGCATTAGAAAGAACTCATTTTACACCATAATCTAACAATAGTTATTTTGAAATTGGTGCCAAGTTTTCATCAATGAGTACATGTCATTGACTGTAGTATTATTGGCTGCTTGATTGACTATAGCATTTATGGTTGTTTCTTACCTAAATATGTTATTGTTATAGATAAAGTTTAAATGGTATTGAGATCTTACCGTCATATTTTAAAATACATAATTAAAGGGTTTAAACATTTTTTGTATATACATAATACTTTGCATCCATTCTCAAGGTTTACTATATTACACTCTGAATGAAAATTTTGCTGAAGGATTGCATATGTCTCCCAAAGAAACTGTAATATGCCTCTAGGGCACCGTTTACTTGTGTGGAGATGAATAATAAGTGATAAATGACAAAAATGGAAAATAAAACAATAAAAATTAAATATATATGAAATGAAACAGACCCCAAATTACAAATATAAGCAAAACATCTTTAAAGATATTCTATAAAAAATTAAAAGGTATGTACTTTTATATTTCCTGATTTTGATCATTTCATTGCATTGTATGCCGATAGCAACAGCTAGAGTTACTGATATGGTAAAGAAAATACAAATAAACATTTACCTTAAAAACTTTTGATATTCATTTAGGAGGTTCTGTAGGTTATGCAAATGAAATATTAAAACTATACAATGAAAAGTATTTTTACACTTAAAGTGAAAATCACCTTGCACTCAAACTATTTTAACAGTGAGTGCAAATAACTACGATAGATAAACAACATTTTTATTAGAAAGGAGAAATTAGAACAAAGTCATTCTTTGTGTACAAAATACTGATGAACCTTAACAAAATCTTACGAGGTTTTGTGAGGAACACACAGAGTTACTGTATTTTTATTGCATAAATGTCCTTCCCTGGTCAAGCAGATGGTAATTTCATCTACCCATGTTTAAAGGGTTAATCACTTCCCTGGTTATTCAAAGTATATTTGGGCCAAACAGTCTTGTAAATAATTATTATGCCATTAAATCGGGTTGCTTGTACCTTAAAATTTTTTCCCTCAAGTAAATTCAATGTGACTGAAATTCCTTTTTATACTATTCCATCAATAGATGGCAGCAAAAACAGCTTTGATATGAAAACAAGATGCTAATAGAAAGAGAATCAGAAGAAGCAGGTATTTTTGTCCCAACTGTGGTGTATCACCCTGTGTAACACCTTGCTTCTGAATCTACTATACTACTACAAACATCTAATTGGTATAGACTTTATACATTTTTCTGACAGATTGTTCTTTCTTTCTTACTTTTTTCTATTTATGTAATTGTTTTCTGCATATATAAGGTATTTCATACAAATAAACCTATATATATTATTTTCTTTACACTTTTCTTACATTTCATGGGATATCTTGGGGTTTGTAATAAAAGTTTTTTTTAATATAACAAAACTGATAAACTATAACAAAATATTTTGTGCTCATGATGTCAAAAAAAAACATGTCAAGAAGTTTTAATATAAAATGATAAAAACCCTTTATTTTGTGTTTTAGACCTACTTATTATAAAGGCTGGTTTCACTTTGAGGCAAGGTTAAAAAGGGTATCTAATACATGCATTTTTTCCTGTTTTTAAAAGTGTTCTCTAATATTTTATCTAAATTACCTTGCATGGCTTTATACTGTAACGGAGTGATGTGTTCAAAACCAGGCGGTGCAATGTCCCAATACATTGATGGTTTTTTTCGTCTTTTCTTTGAATCACTAAATACAAGTTTTAAAAAAAAAACATCATATAATTCCTACAAACCATTCAAGTCACAGTAGAAAAAGAAGTGCACTTGAAAAAATTAAACATTTTTTTCTCACTTTTGAGGCATGACACTTAGTTATGATTATTCACTTTTTTAATCCAATTATACAAAGAACACAATATATGATGATCAACATAAAAGAAAAAATATACTTTAACCCATTAACTGCAGGCAGGAGCAGCTCAGTTGCAGTTTTCTGACTCACACATAAAACTGAGTTGCCATCAATCACAATAAAACGGTAATTTTCGTCATTCGCATAGTTATAGTTATATATGTGCGACTGACGGATATTTCCATCATTCTCAGCTGAGCCATCCACAGTTAATGTTACTCTATATACTGTATGAAAAAGTTAATTTTTCTTTGCAACATTTTCCATAAATCTAAAACAAAAATGAATTAACTTAGCATTCCTTAATCCATTCACTGCAGCTGGGACATATATTTCTAAGTGCACTGGGAAATATTCATCCCAGCCACAGTGAAGGGGTTAAAACAAATCAAAATGTTCAGTTTGCAGTTAAATTTTTTAATTTTCCTTAGAACATTAAAAGCCAAGAGTGAGTAAGATTAGAAATCACTAATAGATTAACCATATGAAGGCCCTATTAACTTGATCATGCTCAGATTTCAAATGCCACAAGCTCCAGTTTTAATGGCATTGTTGCCAGCACACCATTAGAACTTAAAAGTATGCAAAACAACCTTCAGTAGTTTGTTACGAATTAGAAACTCAAATTACCAATATTGACAAGCTAGAAGATAAAATAAAAACCTCCTATCTTTTCTATTTGCTGAGATATAACTATAATTAGCAAATCAAACACAATGACCCTGCCCATCTCTTCCATTTTTGGAAATACTTGTGTACACCCACTTCACTCTATGATGTGTTTATAACCAATCAAAAGCTCAGAATTTGCCCCACATGGTTTTCTCAGCCTCTTGAAGGTGGGAACTTTCCAAGTTTATTTCTTATGTCTCCAATCTTGAAAGGATGGGGTAAGTTAAATGTTGTTCGAAAAACTTTTGTTTTAGACTCAATTACAGTTTAGTTATTGAGCCTGATAAATTACAGTTGAATTCTGAGATATTCGTAGAGTAATTTAAAATTTTTTGCTATCTTAAAATACATATATAAAACCTAAAAAAGCTTTGTTTTACATCCTCCATGTGCAAAATTTGGCAAGACTAAGCATGCAAGGTACAGTAAGTATATACTATTGGATACAGTAACATCAGTACAGTAACATTTTGCTATTTTAAAATACATATATAAAACCTAAAAAAGCTTTGTTTTACATCATCCATGTGCAAAATTTGGCAAGGCTAAGCATGCAAGGTACAGCAAGTATATACTATTGGATACAGTAACATGAGTGCACATGAGTCACATAATTGTAACTTCTGTAATGTTAATCAGACATAGCTGAAAGGTCAACAAAGTAAAAATAATAAATACATATAGATGTATAATGTTATGTGATTTAAACTATTTAGAGTAAACATCTATGGTTTTGTGTTATAATTTGTAGTCATTCTAGAAAGAAAAAGCATAATTTATACCGTTTTCCAAATTTTTTATGGTGACTTACAAGGTCAGTGAAATCAACCAAATCCATACAGAGATACAATAGTGAAATTAACATATAAAATATAAAGTTTTGTCTCAAAAAATTTTTGATAATCATCTGGAGGTTATAGCTTTTGCATGTGAAATTTGACAATTTTCTGATGCATAAAAGTATTTTTAATCTTAAAATCAAAATTACATTGCATGTTGGATAGTCAACATTCAAAAAGAAAAAGTGCACGAGCAAATCTTTAGTTAAATTCTTAAAACTTAATAAAAAAATCTGATATTTTGTGTATGAAAGCCTTGTAATGTTTATTGATAATCTGTAAAATTTCATGAAGATATGTATGCATATATTAAAAGTTATAGTATGAAAACTATAACAAGCACAAAATGGTTACGAGGTTGGTCTATGGGACCAAGTCCATAGTGAGAGAGTTAATCTATCTTTTTTACAGCAATTTTTCCATTAGATCAAACATTTTCAGAAAATAGCCATATCAGTATTTACCCTCTCTTTTTGTGTAGTTAATATTATAGTTCTGTGACTTTTAAGTGCACACTTAGCAAATCAAAGGTACATATGTTTATAGAGCTGTGTCAAGAGATTTGAAAGATACATATATAGATGAACACTTTTGTTGATTATCTTTTTCAGGAAAGGATTGTACAGGATGGTACCATGCATTTTCTACACCCTTACTTAATATGCAAATTTTTTTTAAATGTCTATTTTTTTTCAGTTCAGTTTTGATGCATAAAGTCTATTAATTGGCAATTAACCAAGTTTCTTGCAGATAAGATAGCAGGTGATGTCCACAAATAGAAAACTGTCTTTTCTGTCAATGAATTGTGCAATTACTCAGAATTTCCCCTGCCACAGCTCTCTATCACAAGTGCACTAAGGTTACACACAAATCTGACTTAAGTTGTTATTTATGTTTTGTATTAGAAATAGGTTCTCCTATGTTTAGTAGATTTTTCAGAGATTTTGCTGAACTTTTAAACTTAGACTTCTGACTTTAACATTACTCTTGATGCTATACATATAATGTAACTAAACTGAGATATTAGTAAGATTTTTAATTAAATCTTTCTTTAGAGATTTTATGTTTATTTTAACTTTGTAACTGTTTTTGAGTTTCAGTAGACTATTCTAACTTGTGATGTGTGGTGCAAAACTGTTATATTTTAATTTATTTTTTGGGTTTAACTTAAATATAATAATATTGAGGCACATCCTTAACTGATAGAGAGAGCTTGAACTTACAAAGGAGGTTTCATTTTTCTTCTCCATCTTGCCCTTGTTTTATTTGTGATTGTTTCATTTATAGTTGTAGTGTAAATAATTTTTATTATGCATCTTCCATGATTCGACTCTTACTTCCTGATAAACTCATTAAAGATCAGAAAGATTAACAAGCACATAGTAATTTGATATCCTTCAAACATCCAGGTAAAAAACCATACTCTGATGGAAATCTGAGAACCATAAAATATCACAAAAACATTGATTTTGAGATGTAGCTGACAGATTGCAAGTTTTTGACTTGTGAGCTTTTTACAACTTTGAATCTTTGTTTTTTTTTCTTGTTAATGTATACATTAATATGTTCAATATTCAACATTTTTTTGTGTGTGTGTATAGGATGGGGAGGGGGTCAATAGGTTTTCTTTCATAATCACAGCTTTCACTTTGTGAATGATTGTTTATGGTGTGATTTCATAGACCAGTCAAGTCCTAAATCCTTTGCTGGGAAAGTTTTTCTGCTTCCACAAAAATACTGACAACTCCCTTCTTCAAAATGTGTCCTTCTTATGCGGCATTATTTAACCTTCCTATATGAATATTTCGCTACAGAATAAGATGTCATACACCTTTCAAACCAACAATCAAATTCTGGAGGTATTATACAAGCTTGAACAGCTTTTATATACAGGATAGATGCCTGTCTATCACGTGATTGTGATTTTAGAACCATTCTGACATTTGTAGGGAAACAGAAGCTAAGTTATTTGAATTTTCAAGTTGAATATAAGTAATCATAATTACCTTTTTCTCCATTCTCGTGAGTGAGATCTCTTCCATTTGTCTCTACTATGTGATCCGGATCTAGAGCGATGCCGTTTATGGTCATTACGTCTTCGATCTTTATCTTGGAAATTAAAGTAAAAACACATGAATAAAATCACAATTTATATATGTATATATATACAAACATCCTTTTTTTTTGTATTTTGCATGTATGGTAAAGCAACCACAGCTGTTTGCCACCATCCTTAATTTTGACCTATCTACCACACTGAAAGCAGTCGGCAGCACCCTTACACCTACACTAAGGTATTCATTGTTACTATTATAATGCATTGACAGTTTGAAGTACTGGGAATTTTTGTGGTATCACACAGATTCGACCTCAGTATGCCAGCTCTGGAATACAGAGTTCCACCTCAGGGTCAACTACACTTCTTAATTTAAGATACCTTACTAGTCAAATATTCTTAATCTAAAAAATTATAAATCAATGTACCATCACTCTTTACTCTCTAGATAAAAACAGTTATCATGGGGAAAAAAATTCAAAACCATTCTAAAAATTTCTAATTGAATATTTTGTAAGTTATTTCTGACAACATATCCCAACACCTTGCTAAAAATAGTAGATAAACTAACAGGCTTATAATTTCCAGATCCTAGCTCTGACAACATATCCCAACACCTTGCTAAAAATAGTAGATAAACTAACAGACTTATAGTTTCCAGATCCTACCTCAACCCTTTCTTTGAATAAGAGGAATCACACTGGCTATCTTTCAATCATCAGGAATTTCCTTAGTGTCAAGAGAATTTCAACTTTTGAAAATTTGCATCCTGGAAGCAAATAAATCAATTGGATGGAAACAAAACTCATTCTGCATTCACAAGATGCATAAAAATGGGAAATGGAAACAACAGTAAAGCAAGATGCATCTTAACCCGATCAGGATCAGATCACTGATATCTCTTGATTATCACCTTCTAACAGTGAAAATACTTAACCAATTTGCATGAAACTTAGATCCAACTTATTAAATGCTTAAATAGCACCTAGTTTAGACTTAAAGGAATTTGTATAATTTGATTTAGTTTCCCATAATTTTTTATGTGGTCCAAATTTATGTTGTGAACTACCACTTTAAAAACTAATAGACATACTTCCTATTGTTTTAAAATTTCAATTTTTTTAAACATTGATCAAAAAGTTCTGTTATTGTATTCTCAACTGGAAAAAGCCACCTGACTGCAGAACACAGTGAAGACTTGATGATTCTTTCGATGAAATGACCCAACAACAAACATTTCAACTACAAAAGTGAGATTGAAATCTAATTATCTTCACTACTGCAAACAAGCACAAGTTCTGACTTTAAATATGCATAAGTTCATTTAAGACACACAGTCTTCATGCTCTTTAAAGTACATAATAATAATAATGATATTTTACATTATATCAGTGTCGAACTGTTTAACTTTTGCTTTTTTTCTCTCTCACTAGCTTTCAGTTTTATTTCATTTATTGATTTTTGATTAAATATGAGTGAAAATATAAATTCAAGATACTTATTTCATGATTTAGTTCTGAGAAGTTTGTTTTACATCAATTGTGAATCAAGTCTACAACTGATACAATTCAAAAACCTTGCCCCCTGCATTCAAATTTGAATTCAAATTAAAAATATTTTAATGAAAACCAGTTCTACAACTTATATGAATTAAACTTGATAGAGCTTTATTTTAAGCGATTGAATAAAGTAATACTTCTCAAAATCTGTTTAAAAAAAACTCAATATTATTTTGGAAAACAGTAGTTATACAAATAACAAATGAAACTCAATACAATCTAAATTAATTTTGATATTTTAATCAATAATTTTGTTTCTCCTAGCGAACTACATTAAGTTATTATCAGCTTCGAGTGACATCTAGTTTAAAGCTTGGTAATTAGTAGTATATGCTATTCAATTAATCAATGGCCCAATTAATCAATTAATAGTGTTCCTCACATCATGACAA